AATGAACAGAACTACCTAGAACTTTTAGAAACCAAAGGCACTGGCATTTAAAAACAAAGCAAAACAAAAACCTCAATAGGTGAGTTAGTGAATGCAGGTGAAGAGAGAATTAATGAATTAGAAGCTAGAACTGGGGACATCCTTCATTATGAAGGACAGAACAATAAAATACAAAATATGAAAGAAGAGACAGACGATTGATGAGAAACTCCAGTATATGTGCTATTAGTTTCAGAAGGATACTGGAAAGTGATCAAGCTCTTTCTAGAAATAAGACATGAATTTCTAGATTTAGAAGACTCAGACTGCTTAGTAAGAGATCTTAAAAAACAAAACTACACCTAAACACCTTGTAGTCAAAAATGTAGACTATCAAGAATAAAGAGGAAATTCTACAAGCCACCAGAGAGAAAAGAGAGCTTATCTACAAAGGTCCAGTAATTGAATTGACAGTAAACTTCTCATCAGCAACAACAGATGCCAAAAAACAATGGAAGAAGATCTTCAGAGTGCTGAGGGCAAATAATTGTGAACCTACAATTCGGTATCTTGCCAAACTGTCATTTAAATCAAAGGACAAAATAAAGACATCTGGACTTGTATGAAATCTTAGAAAGCTTCTATCCCACAGACCTTCATTGAAAGATAGTCGCAGGGCCTTGGGGGAGGGGTTGGAAGCTCACAGAGGTGTCCTGGGGTTCAGTGGCAGCCAGGACTCAAAGGATCAGCAAGAGGCTCAGGGGTGTGGGTGAGCCCAAGGCTGTTTCGGATCTCACCTCAGCACCAGCCAGACTGAGGAGCCCAGCCCAGCCTGGCCCAAGTAGGACTCAGCTCCAGTGCCAGCTTTGCTGTCCTCCTGTCCCCTCTTCCTGGGCTGTGGTAGTGGCCTGACACCCAAGCTAAGGTTGACAACTATCAGCCTGGTTCTAGGGCCCTCAAAAGGCAATGCCCAAGTTACTCATGTGACTGGGCACTTGACCTCCACCCTACAGTCCTCTTCTCTAGGGAGACCAGATGCCACCTTACAAAAGCCTATAGATGACTGGTACCAAGACAAAAGCTAGGTCCCTGCCCAGGACTTGGTGAGAGAGATTTTCATTCTCTACAGGAAAAGAATCATAAACAGAGCAGACAAGACCAATGGGGGCTGAGCCAATGTTGGTCACCTTGGACAGGAGACTTTGGAGCATCTGTCTCCATTGCACCAGCCAGTAGCCTTGGACAACTTTTTTTCGATACTGGATTTGAACTCAGGGCTTCATGCTTCCTAGCAGGCACTCTACCACTTGAGCCACACCTCTAGCCCATCCTTGGACAATTTCTTAACCTCTTTGAGCCTCATTTTCTTGCTTACAAAATGGGAAGCAAGAAAAGACGTACTTAATGAGGATGTAAAAATGAAATGAGAATCCACTTAGGTACCAAACTTTAGCTATATTTTCCTACACAGAAATGTCTTAAAAGGATAATCTCTGACGGTCCTGCCTAGCACTCATCAGTCGTCAATAAAAAACTGTTAGCAAGAAAAAGTGATGGTGAGAGCAGACAAGCAGGGGTGGGATGTATGCACAGTGCTGAAGCTATAACAGCAGGGACCTCACCTAGCTTGTTTTCAGTTAGATTCGTAATGACCAAAACAACATCTGACATACAGAAGGTACCAAAGAAATACTTGGTGAATGACTGTGTATGTGAACTCTAATAAAGGTATGTAGAAGTTGATATGGAAGCATCAAAGAAGTCCTTGCTGACTCTGCCCCAGGAATTAGAAGTTTCTCAGTGAGAACCATTTAACTTGGGGCTTGATGGATGTATAAGAGATCAATACATGAAAAGGAGAGTAAAAGTGTATTCCAAGCATTGGAGACAGCACATTCTGAAAACATGGAGGTTAGGAAACAGAAGCACAAAGTGTAAGGGATGTGGAGAAGAGGAAAGTGGAAAGAAAGCTTGGGAGATAAGGAGGACCTTGAATGAACTTGGGCTGTCAGAAAGTCCCTATTAAAATCTAACCAACTGCCTTGATACAGTACTCTAGAGAGGGGAGTTTCCAGTCCTTAGTGTTTTCCCACAGGGGGCCCTTCCTTCAAAGAGTGAGGGTCTTGCCAGGATTGATGATTCACACCTGTAATCCTAGCTACTTGGGAGGCAGAGATTAGGAGGACAGCAGTTCAAAGCAGATCCCTGGCATATAGTTTAAGAGACTCTATCTCGAAAATACCCAACACAAAAAGGGCTGGCAGAGTGGTTCAAGAGATTAGAGGGCCTGCCTAGCAAGCATGAGGCCCTGAGTTCAAACCCCAGTACCACCTTAAAAAAGAGAGTGAGGGTCTTATCAGAAAGGGGGCTAAGCATCTGATACCCACTAAGAAAGGGGACAGTCACACACCCTTTAGTACCTTCTGGCACCTCCCAATGACCCAGGTAAGGGCTGTCTGCTGCCCCCTTGTGGCCTTGGCAGACTTGAGTAGCAAGGGAGACAGTCAAATCCTCTGCTCATAATCCCAGGGGTTTCCCATCTCCACCAGCCTCCTGTAAAGTTATCCTAGACCAGACCTGATGGCTTTATTAATTCCACACACACTCAGGGATGGGCCAGGGGGCTCACAGAGGTTGAGTAAAAGGAGACAGTGGGCATTTGGTAAAGCCCTGCTCATTCTTAAACACACACATACCAGAGAGAGCAACAGCGTATGTACAGGGGGGTCAGGAGACCAGTGTTTTAACTCCACCCCTAATTCATGGAGTGACCTTGGGCAAGTCACTGCACTTCACTAGGCCTCTCATGACTCCATCTGTACCACAGGGATCGTCATCACTCTCCCTGTCTCTCCTGCAGGGTCACTGTGAAGATCATCAAGAGGACGGATGGTTCAAATGCTAGGGAAAACGTTTAAAGACTGTTCCGGATGTAAGGGAATCGTGCTGGGTATTAGATAGGGGCTCTCTTGGGCAGCACCAAAGGGTTTATTTACACCAGGATGGGACCTGCTGGCAGGGCCATTTAAAGGGAACGTGCTCAGCAGAGAAGCTGCTTGCCAATCACAATTGATCAAAGCATTTCCAAAACAAGAGTGGAATTTATGGGAAAACAGACCCGCTGACCAGCCTGGAATTCCAGTTGTGCTTGGATTTTGGATTTCCAGGAAAAGTATATGGGACAGAGGGTGCCAGGAAATGGGATAGCAGAGCTTTTCCCTTTCTGAGACCAGGGCATGTCTGCCTGCTCGCTTTCTCGTGCACTCTGTGCAGGCCTAGGCACGTGGCCTCCATTGAAAACCTGCTCATTGCTATGATGTCTTAAGATATACTTGGGTATATGACAAATAGAAAGGCCTGAAGGCTCCCTTTAGAGACAAACCTAGGGCTAGAATGAAGATAGTTGGATATAGAAGGAGGGACTGAACAAGCATGAGAGGTCCAAATGTGGTGACTCACTTCTATAATCCCAGTTACTCAGGAGATTGGGAGGATTACAGTCCCAGGCCATACTGGAGAAAAACTTACCAAGACCCCATCTCAACCAATAAGCTAGTTGTAGTGGTTGTGTCTATGATGCTAGCTATGTGGGAGGCAAAGGTAGGACTGTGGTCCATAGGTGGCCCCAGGCAGAAATGCAAGACCCTCTCTGAAAAATAACTAAAGCAAAAGAAAAAAAAAAAAGTTTGAGTTGGGATTCCCCAACTCTGTGTGCTATATTAAATGGGCAGACTGACTTATGATGAAAGGGTACAATGTATCAAAAACCTTCAAACTAGGAAAATCTTTGCTTTATCTAAAGCAGTTATTTTTCTTCCTTTTATAATGTGAATTAGCTTTTATGTGGTCCCATCTCTTACACTTATTTTTGCTTTGGTGACCAGGAAGCTCAGCATCAAATCATTCTGTGTAGGTTGTGTTATTTCTTATGATCCTGATTTCCTACTCAATTATATTTTCCCTAATTCTAAATTGTCCTGTTATTTCATTGTGTGAGAAGGAGTGTTTTTCATGGTAAGCTGTCTGTTTTTTTTATGGAATGAGATATGGTACACTTAAGTAAGCAAAACAGGAGGATGACGCATGACAGATGATCAAGTATAGCCACCACTTCCCCCATCCAGAGAGTAAAGGGAAGAGGTGCCAGACCTGTACCTAGACAAGACACCGATATAGGTGTGTGTGTGGGGAAGTGATCTCAGGAGGAGCAATGAATAGTGGGGCCACCCTGAGTCTTCCCTAATTCTCCAATGCCATTTCACGTTCTACTGCCAGTTGACTGTGGTGTGTATTTGGTGAGGAAATCCTAAGAGCATCAGGTGCAGGCCTGAAATTGCCTAATACGAGCTGCTTCTCCTTTCCCACCTTACCCTTTAAATAGTCCCAAAGACAAGTGAATTGCTCATGATTTCATGGTAAACTGATACCTGCTTTGCCTGGAACCCAGCTCACTGCTCTTCTCACAAGAGGCTTGACTCTGGGTGTAAAGATGTACGGTGGAGGTCAGAAAAAAGTCTTGTCACTGGTTCTATGTCCCTGCTTCAGTGGACTGAAAGAAGCCCTTATCTGCTGGCTGACAAAGGGCTTGGATTGCCCACCATGGCATATGCCAGGCCTTCAGTAATGAGCATGGCCATACCAGGCATCTCTGAGGGCCAGCCTGCACCAAATAGAACTGCAGTGTTTCCTCCAGTACTTATTTGCAAGGTAGAGCCAGCATTCTCCAGGAGAGACATCCCCGGTCCTAAACCAAGTGAGCCACAATTCCATCGGCCTCACATGTGGTAATCAGTTAGGTGAGGCAGGTGGGCACATCTGAGTAGCAGACATGTTCTGTTGAAGTTCACCTGTAAGGCTGGCCAAGGACCTCAGTTTGAATCTGGTATGTGATATTTAGATTCCCTTAGCTTTGGGCCCCTGCTCAGTTTTCCAGAAACCCAATCTGAGGGCAATCTTTCCGAGTCTTTCCCAAGCAAGAGACCCCATATATGTCCCCAGACACAGAAATCGACTCTAAAGTGTCTAAAATGAGGTTTATTGCGTTTCATGCGGTTTGAAGTCCATGCAGCAAAGAAGACTGGCACAATATTTAATGTACTTAAAAAATAAAATAAAGGTGGAGGGGGCAGCAGATGCACCAAGTTCTAGTCTCCTTGGATCCCTGGGAGAGGAAGGTTGAGAATGAAACCATTGCTCTCTGTGGGAAATGAGTTCCTCTCCTAAAAAGAAGGAACACTTCCATGACCTCTGGATACCAATACAAAGCTCGGTGGAGGGCAGATGGGACAGAAGCACTGGTGGAAAAGGAGCTACATCCCTTCACCTGATTCAATTTGAGTGCAGACAGGATTGGTGGGGGGGAGAATCTTGGGGGCAACAGCTGTTCCAAGAGTCAGAATATCCCATGTACCCCTAGGAAGGATGATCTGCTCCTATGAAGTGGCGGTAGGAACCAAAAAAGAAAAACAAATGGAGAAATATTTCTTCAACCACACGCATTCAAGAAAATGCCATAAATATGTATTTAATTTTTTCATTTCATAGCATTGGACACACAGCTCAACATATTGAAGTATGACTCCTTAAGAGAAAAAAATGGAAAAATGGAAATAAAAAATATTGCATCTTTCTGTTGGAGAATCTTGACACCCCTCCCCCCCAGGCGCAGGGTGCAGTGCACCAATGTCCTAGCCTGCAGGAGGCGCTGAGGTCGCCGGGTCGTCTGGGGAGGGAGGTTGTGCCCATCGCCTGGGGCTGTATGGCAAAAATTGTGTTGGGTGTCCTTGGCCTTGCCAGCTCAGGCCCTCAATCGCCGGTCACCTGGGGGGCCTGCCCGTCGGAGGGCTGGTTGGCTGACTGGATGAACATGGGCTGGGCGAGGTCCTGGCCTGCAGGCATGGTGACTTGCTGGATCTGGTAGAGCTGCTGCGAGGGGTGGAGAGGAGAGAGTGAGGTCACCCCTGGGAGAGGCGCAGGCAGCTCCCTGTGGGCCTCGAACTGGTTGGGGGCCCCAGATACCTCAACCACTACCCACTGCAAGGCGTCAGAGGGAGGAGGGGGGGTGGCGCTCTGCTGGGGCTGGGAGCAGCAGACACAGGAGGCACCAGCCTGATGTGAGGGGTGGGGTGTGGTGGGCAGGGAGGAGGTGCAGGGAGTTGCATTTCCTGTGGCTTTCACTTCTCTGGGCTCTGCCTCCGTTAGCTCAGAGCCTCGAGCTTGCTGCACGCTGTTCCTCTGTGACAAACACAAGCAATTCGAGCACTATACCAGCAGCTTGGAAGTCAGACTTTCCCCAGCTCTTGGTGATCCTCACTGGCAGGGGCAATAGAATTACCCACCTCTTCCTCCTTTCCTCAGAAAACCAAGCTCAGATGGAGGCTAAACTGAACCTGCACTTCCTACATGGGCCCTATGAAGGAGGCAGCCTGAAACACTTCCTACGGCCAAGCCCCAGGAGGGTGAAGATTCTTCCTCGGCCGATTAGGAAGATTAAGGCTTACTGACCTCTTGGTTTTGCCAAGACCCCCAACTACCTGGCAGGAGAACCTAGCATCTCGTGCTGGTGGAAGCCAGAGGGGGCCCTGATGCCTGTTCTTAGCCCTTTTGGGCAGCAGAGAGCCCAACTTTGGACATGTCATCCTGTCATGTACTCAGTGGTCCCTGGGACCACGCTGTGAGGGGAAAACAGGCAAGACGGAAGGTCCCTACCTCATGTGTTTACAATTACTGAATCCCAGGCACCCACAGAGCTCAAGAGGTCACATATTCTCTGCATTTCAACTAATCCACACTGTTAAAAAGCATCATGGCTTAGGAAAAAAAAAAAACAAAATGGTTCTACAGGGGAAAACAGGAGATCTCCATGCTGAATAAGCACGGACAAGGTACTTCCCATCTCTAGGGCTCAGTTTATTCATCTGCAAAAATTGCAATCTGGGCTATATAATCTCTAAGATTATTTTTAGCTTCCATAGTCTACAAATCTAAAGATATGTGCCCTCACTTAAAGACTACTTGTGTTAACAATTTCTGTCCACTCAGTGGAGGACAGGGCAGTTGCCCTAACCATCCAAACAAACATACCCCCCACAACCCTGGCCCCCCCCAACTCTTTTCCCTTTGCCCCTACCCAGGCTGGGCACCCTACCTGTCCATCTGTGAACTGGCTGAATTGCTGCTGTCCTTGCTGGACCTCTGTCTGTGTGATCTGTGAGAGGTGAGAAGGCAGAGCAGGCACATCAGCTACAGGGTCTGTCTACCAGTCCACCACCCAGAAAGAGCAAATGAGACAACACCTACAAAGCGCCCAGAACGAGGCCTGCACAGAACAGGTGCTCGAAGAGGGGCTGGAAAGCAAGCATCCCTCCAATCTCCTAGCATGGACAGCTACCCTAAGAGTTGGCACCAGACAGGCACACTGAGAACCGTAGAGCATGTAACACACAGCAGCCAGGCCCATATCTATGAATGCGTACCTCCTCCCACAACTACCCCTCACCTCCATGTCTGAAGTTCAAAGAGAACACCCAGCTCCTCAGCTTTAACATGAGAAGGCACAAGTTACGGCTTTGGTAGAAGCCCTAGGAGTCCATCTTTCAGCCAGCAAGGGTAGATTGCACAATGCTGGGCAATGTGGTGAGTGGCCCACCATTGGAAGGTGGGCTCAAAACCAAATCCCTATCACCCGGATTATCTGACTGGAATATGAAACACCCTGGCGAGCAGTGGCCTTGGCCCTGGCAGCCCTTACGGCAAACCTTCGAAGTATTTTCCGAGAGGCAAAGTGCAGCCCTCTGGGCCAGGGGGGTGGGGCGCAGTAGGGTGCAAAAATGGGACAGGAATGGGGGGCTGTAGCAAGAAAACATTTATGGTGTGCATTTAAAATCTTATGTGGGGATTTTAAAATGAATTTGCTGACACGCAGAGCTGTAGCACATATTGACAGGTGCTGGGAGCAGCTTGTCAACTAGAAAGAAGACTAGAGCGAGTGTGTATGTGTGTGTCTCATGGATCATCTGACTGGCAATGGCTTCTGTGTATCACCTCCTGAAATTGTCACAGCCAACCTGCAAGTCCTCTCAAGTGTCCTCATGATAGTCAAACAACCCCTGCAAGCTTCCCCATGAAGCTATGAGTAGCAAGCAAGGGGACAGGTGACAAAGGCCTTCTTAAGATATTTTTTCTTAGTCTGGTCCTTCTTCTCCCATAGGTCTATTACCTGCATGAAGATAGGAGCTATGTTTTGTCTTTATACGCCTAGTACAAAGGAAGCATTCAAGAAATGCTTGCGGAATGAATGAGCCTGAGACAAACGGAAAATCCTTCTATGAGATGGCTAACTGTGCCTTGGGGCCAGAAGGACTGCTGCTCACAGTAACTAAGAAAGTTTCATTTACTTTTAAATCACATACACATTTTATCTGGCATTTATTCAACAAACATTTATTGAGCACCTACTAAGTGCTGAGTTGTCACAATTACATGTTATTACAGAGGTTTGCTTCTCTTCCCTCTTTTCCACTTTGCTTTTGTTCTGTTCCCCAAACTGACCTCTCAGGAACAAAGAACCCTTCTCACTTCCTCTCATTCCCATGCCATAAAAGGTTTTGGGATCTCAGGAAGAATCCTTTTAAAGGGAGATGGACCTAAAGGCATGAATAGTCTTGAGATTTTAATCAGTGTCAGAGAGCCCTAAGAAAATAATGGAAAACCCTTCATCTATAGGCAAGCAGGCAGCATGTCTTGAAAGGGCCCTTTAATGATCCCAGAGACTACATGGAGCTCAGAAGCCTTGCTTTTGGCTCATTCCTCACATTTTCCAAGTGAGACCTTTGGAGACCTGTTCTACAAACTCAGCTCTGTCACCACCGTCAATAGATACATCACCAGAAATGCAACTGGGCCAGACGGGTCCAGCTCTTAAACGATCGCTGCTTTTTTTGGGTCTGAGGCAAAAGAATCCATTAACAATGCCTCCCCTTGATCAGAGTCTCCCATCCTCTGCAAATGATGCCCACATCTCTCAAGCCCCTAAGGCCAGGAGGGCAGCCCCCTCAGCATCTGTGGCTCACAGTCTTCAATACTGTAGGGCAGGGCATGTGTACAGGGGGGTGGAGGATAAACTAAGTAGTCTACTCCAGAATTACTGGAGTAGTTCTTTCCAGAGGTGCCAGAACATAACTGCCATTCAGATTTAAAGATGAAAACAGCCTGAGGTCTAAGCTTCTCTGGCCTGATGTGTGTGCGCGCGCACACACACACACACACACACACACACACACATTGGGGCGTCTTTCAAGTACCCTTGAGGCTTCTGCTTGAGTTCCTTTGCTCCTTGAGAACAAGATGGTAAAAGACACATTTTGAACCCAATCCTCCCATCACTCCCATCCATTCCTTGGATGCCACACAGATGTGTGTATGGAGGGGGGTGTTCTTGCTGAAGGATGAGTTGGTAAAAGTTGTGTGCTGACCACTCCTTTCCCATCAGAAGTTGGACAGCTGCTGCACATCTCCAACTCAAACTCTGGATCTCCAGGGTACATACCTGTTGGGCATTGGTGGCAAGTGTCTGGATCTGTCCCTGCACGACCTGGGTGCCTGATACAGGCTGGGCTAAGCGGATATACTGCAGCTGACCGGCATTCAGCTGCACCTAGGATGGGACAGAGACAAAGAGAGCAAGGGGAATGAACTCAATCACCTACTGGCAAACTTTCTGTGACCCCCTCATGCCCTCCAAAGCAGCCTACCCTGAAAAAAGTATTTTTAAACAGAAATCAAAACAAGCAAAGCACCACCCCCACCCTACAAGTCACATAATACAAAAGGACTTTGGAAAAACGTCCCAGATCTTGTCATGTATGGAACAGCATGGCTGCATGTTGATCAGAGCTCATCTAATCAGAGCTTGTCCAAGGCACTTATCTTAAAGACTAGCTGACGTTATCAGTATGCCTGTCCTTTAACTGTGGGCCTCCTTCTCTCCATCTCTATACTTCCCAATACTGTTAAGCATTCTAGGGTCCACCAGGAGCCCAGATGGCTGTCATTCTGTGTTGCAGTCCTAGTACTGCCCAACCCCATGCTGCACATCTTGGAGGAAAACGCTCGTCTGTTTTATTGTCTCTGTCTCCAGAGCCAGGTCCAATGGGGGTCTCTGGGCTTTGAGGATCCTTGGTGTTCAGCACCAGCTTCTGGCCAAGTATCTCCCAAGGGGAAGCAGAATCAATAAACCTCTCACAGAAAACCCCATCATGGGAAACCAAAGCTACAAAAGTGCCCTTAGAGTCCCTCATGCTTACGATTAAGTCTCAGATAATACAGTAATACCACAGGCTGCATTTAATTGTGTGTTAAAAGCCTTAACTCAGGCTCTTAATGCTCCAGTGTGCCATGAAATTCTTAGTACTTTGAGCTGGGGTGCAGGGAGGATGAGGCAGTTACATGAGGAGTTGTGGCTCAGCAGAGACAACAGGTAGTAGAGGGCAACCATTCCTACCCATGACAGAGGGGCTGAAAAGGGCTGGGGGCACAGGTCAGTTTGATCTGTCTGTCTGGAGGACAGAAAGCACCCTCCTGGCTGCCCGGCCCACCTTTGTTGCAATGGGAGCTTCTTCAAGCTGACAGTGTCATATCTCTGTCCTGGCACAAGCTCCTCCTGGCCTTCAGGAGCTAATCTCACTGCAGGAATCTAACTTCCATAAGGAAAACGCTGTTAGGAAGCGTTCAATCACTTACTTGCAGTGTTCAAGCAAATGGTTCTCTGAAACTTCTGCCCTCAAAGAATTTAAACCACCAAGAAAAACTCACTGAAGTTCTTTGGTAGACCATTTCATAATTGTCTGCTTGAGGTAAAATGGAGGAACACAAACTCTAAAACCATTAAGCATCTGATTCAAATGAAACAGGGCAAGAGTATTATGACCTATGGTCATTTCTTTCCTGAGATTTTGACAAGAGGAACTGCTGGGGAGTTGTGATGCCATACCTAAATTCCCTACCAATTGTAATGCAACTTCCTGGTGACAGTGTTAAGTTGCTTATGGGAAGGAAGGCAGCTGGGAAGAAGCCTGGGAAACCTCAATTATTGATACTGATAGTGGCTGGTCCCAGATGTCACCAGAAAGTCAGCCAAGGATCCCAGAGTGAAATACCAGAGGCTTGCCCCAGGGGAGGAGGAAGGGGTACTGACAGTCACAGGTATTTTAAATTTCCTAGCTGGAAAGCTTTATTACAGAGAAAATAAGCCTATCCCTTGGGTTTCTAAAAGAGAAGTAAAGTTTCTGTCCTGAAGGTTATCACTGTTATAAGCATACTGCTGAGCAGCTTAAAGGGTCTAGTAATGCAGACTCCTAAGAAGGTGTCCAAGACCAGTGAAGATAAGGTTGTGGATTCTGCAACAAATCTGAGCTAAACCTTTATGCCACAGAAGATTAAAGTTACTGTGACATGGGAACTTTTCCTTAGTTTAAATTACCTTGTTTTGGTTCTTTCACATACAAAAGGAGAACCATTCATTAAGGTCTTGGGGCTAAAACAATGAGGCAAGGCAGAGCCCAGGCACCTGGAATTGGTGGTGTGGGTATATGTGTATAAGAGACAGACAGAGGCAACAGGAAGACAGGCCAGACACACACACACACACACACACACACACACACACCCCATTTTCCTAAATTTTCTCCTGGCTTATTATTTGGTAACTTAAGTTCCTAAAACTGAGCTCAAGATACTTTTTGAGCTTTTTTTTTCAAAAGAAGTGGCTATCAAGTGAGTATATGCACCAGTCTGCATACTCTATGATACTTCCCAGTTTCTGGTGGCAAAATGGCCAATATACAGACTGTGATTGTTTTATATCTATAGTATATATAAAATACATTTTATAAAAGAATAAGTAAAAAAGATTACAAATCTTTTTTACAAATCTAAGAAATGAAATCCCTCAGGGCACACAGTAAGCAGTAATCTACAGCAAAGGAATGCGTAAGTTAAATGAAAGCCAAAAATATACTTTGCTGCAGGCGCCACTGGGAACTGACTCATGAATATGCAACAAGTGTATTTATGGCCTTCCCTATACACCTCCCTCTTGTTCTTTGCTAATCGAAAGACAGGCCAACCTCACAGGGCTTTTGGGCCCTGGATTGGGGTAGTAGTTACACTGACTTCTCTGTATGGGGGGGGGGGTGAGGGGAAATCGAGAAGAGCAGCCCCAATGTGGTGAACCTGAACCTGGACTGAAGCAAAGTAGAGTAAATATAGTGAAGGAAGCTGGGGGACAGGGAGAAACAGAGTGTAATGGGAACACAGATTTTAAAAGAGACACACATATTGTGTGTGCAGGGCATAAAATGTTAAGATACTTCCATCACAAGCTGAGAACAGAGCCATGCAGGCCAGGGAAACAGGCTTACCGGGATCTGCTGGATCTCTCCTGTGTTAGTGATGATCTGCTGCATCACCTGCATGGTCTGTCCAGTGCCACTCTGGGCCTGCTGGGCTTGACCCTGAGGCTGGGCCTGCACAATCTGCACCTGCTGGCCTTCTCCAACCTGCATCGTCACAGGCGTGGTCTGGAAGAAAGAGTCAAGAGAAAGCTGCCCAAGCTCTGGCTGAGAGCCTGAAGGATTACCAGAGGGCTAAAAATGAATGGTTATGCAAGAGTACACACTTTATTAATGTCTAAATTCATCTCAACACTATTAAAACTCAACCTGTAGTGTCCTTTGGATCTAAAGCACTGAAGTTAACTCTCTTAAATGAGAGATGAGAAAGCCAAACCAGGCTTCAAGCTCAGAGTGCAGAATATTTGCCTGGGCCCCAAGCATAAATGCCTGGGCTTCAAATGTTGTAACTTTTTATGGCCCTTTCAATGGTAATGTGCATGCAGCATAGAAAAAACTCGAAAGCAATCACAACATTTCACTTGAGAAATGGTCACGGTCAAGCCTAGAGCACATGATTTGGAGGGCAAAATAAAACAGAAAGCGGCCCCAGGAATTTATTAAATCTAGAGTCTGAGCTCCTTCTCAGGCATGAATGACAACTCTGGACCTAGTCCATGCTAGCTTTCACCCCGTTCAAGGAGCAGAGCAACTCCTGCCTACATTTGCCAGATGGCTGCTCTGGACCACAGCATGGCTTCCTATGGGACAGTTGATACATTACACACTGATCTGACTCTTAGCTGAGCTTACCTCTAATTAGAATTTTAACTTTCTAGAAATGGAAATTTCAGATTAAAGAAATTTCTGCCCAATATATATGACTTGGCAGAGTCTGTGTTTTCAATCACAACGGCTTGTAGTTCTAGGAAGCTGATTCATTGGTGAGGTGGTAAAGATCTGTCACATGAGTTAATCATTCCTTCAAATCTCAAGACTTTAGCCCTCAATGTGACTTCTTACCAATTTCCCAGAGAAATAAGCCCAGCATACATGGTGGTGGCAAGTAGTGGAGGTGGGTAGAGTCCTTTAAACCACACCTGTAGTACCAACTTCAAAGCCCTCAAACCCCCACCTCGATTCAGACACAGCATCTCTCTGCTCTGAGCTAATCACAGCAATAACATGGCTCTGGGAGTTCCAATGAATTATGAACTTCAACTGATGTTGCTGTTCTGATGTTCTTAACTCTGACTGCAGAGGCCTATTAGACATTATAACTATGCACCTAGAGTTACAAGGGCAGAGGATACATTCTTGGAACAACAGATAAGATTCAGGAGATTATTAGGTAAGGAGAAATTACTGCAAGGAGGAAGATAGGGAAGAAAGATGAGAGGGTTCTCAGTGTAAGTACCTGTGGTAGGTAGGATACCACAATTTTCAACTCAACCTACCCCCAAATCCCCAGAAGTAGTTACCAATTGAGAACAGAAAACACAGAATTCACTTTACCACAATATGCATTACTCCCAGTTTTGCTTTAGTATGTATCCTCTTTCAAAGGATATTTGCACTCAACTTGAAACAGCCACCACTATAGGTCCAAGGCCACCCTAAAGCAGCAGGACAGCAAAACAATAGCTGGGAGGGGCCAACTTCATCATCCTCCCAAGCCTTATCAGCTGCAGGCCGAATAGATCTGGGCCAGCAGAGAAGACAGATGAAATTCTCGCTGACTAAAAAAAAAAAAAAAAAATACATGCTGCCAACTCATCACTGTACGATATCAACCCAATTTTCCCAAGAGGATTTCCAAGGTATTTCTAAATCATTTCAGGAAAATGAGGGTTTGTGTTAGCATGGCAGCTGCCAAATCACGTATGGTGTGCCCTGCTGTCAAGGCAACAGCCCTGGGCTTCTTAGGCTAATCAGCCAATCAGGGCTAGCCCTTTGAAGCCTCCCTTGAAGTATACTCTGTAAAAGGATAAAGCCTTTAGCAGGTAAAGCTCTCTCTACTGTAGAAGCACCAGCATGAGATAAGTAAGGCTCTTTAGGTATCATGGTGCAGTGAACACCTTGAGGCAGGGACTGGACTGTGATCATCTTTGAACCCCTCCTGCCTAACAACATATCTGATGTACAGAAAATAGTTAATAAACTTCTGTTCTATGGATAAATTAGTAGAAAATAAACCCATCTCTACACCAATGTTGTTCTTCTAGGCAAATCCAGCTCATTTTTATAGTATTCAAGACTATCCAGGGTATGTTCCCTGGACTTGCCTAGATGGTCCCCTATGCTGACTGCACTTTCCATCACTTCCTGTACTGTTTCTCACTTCTAAGCCTTCGCTGTGCTGCACCCTCTCCTGGCAATATCATCCTTTCTGGCTTAATTTAACTTCTAGTGTTCCCTCTAAAACTCATAATATTCCCTTCAGGAAACTTCCTTAACCACCTCCTCTTCTACCACCTCCTCGTATCTTTGTTAGGTACTCCTTTTGATATACTCCCATAATACTCTGTACATAATTCTAAGATTGTCTTACTCTTCCCACATGGTGGAATATAACCTTTAAGTATCTGTACCACAACTAGATTGTGAATTCCCTGAAAATCAGGATTATTTTATTTATGCTTATGTCCCCAATACCTAGCACAGGACTTTACTCACAGAGGATGCTCACTGTTTGATGAATAAATAAAGTAATGACTGACAGAATTTGGATTCAGAGCTCACAGTACTGAGTCCTCTGCAGCCTCTCATGACTCCCAACGGATGGTACTGCTCTCAACAGTACTATGGGGGAGAGAAAAAAATCCTCTGATTACTATTGTAAAAAGAGAAGGTAACCTGACACAAACATGGTGGGACAGAGAAATGCCAGGGAGGAGAGAAGAGGAAGGCAAGCTGGCAATGATGCCTGATCTCCCTCTTAAGGGCACAAATTCCAGTTCTGCAACAAACACACAGACAGCAGGCATGGAGTCTACTGAAAAGACCTTCTACAGAGATCCCAGCACTCTTCACGGGCACATTAGAGAGATTTTTTTTTTTCCTTCTACAATGTCTGAGCTCATAGGGATCCTGGAGAACATCTTGTCCACTGTACTTTCCTCATCTGACCTATGAGGATAACAGGGTCCAGAGAGATTAGGGCGATACACTTTGCCTCTGTGCCTGAGTCGGGGAGGAGGAAGCTCAGGTTTCCAGACTTCAAATCCAGCATTCTACCCGCTTTCCCTATCCAAACCTACGAGGCACTAGGCATGTGCCCTCAGCAGCTCACAGACCTGGCCCTGCTGGGGCTGTGCGATGATGATCTGCCCAGGCTGGATGGTGGTCGTGGAGCTGGTGGTCTGCTGGCCTTGCTGCTGCCCCTGCACTTGGACAGCAGTGGGCTGCTGAGCCAGTGTGAAATAGTACTGGACGGGCTCGGCAGGAGTCACAGACTGACGCACCTCCTCCTGTAGGGTGGAAGGAGAAGCAGGTAAGGGGAAAAGAACCGACTCAGCAACCGCCAGTGAATTTCCACTCTTCCCCAAACAGGCTATGTGCAGTTGCCTGCTGAATGCTGAGCTCTCCACATTTAAAGCCAAAGGAAAGTAGAATCTGAAGAGACCAGTTGTGCTAAATCGAACTAAAAATAACAGATTCTTTAGGCTTCACAAAACATACAGCCAATTTTCTAAAGCTCTGAGTAATCACCCATTGCATGATGAGTTGCAAACAGGCAAATAATTACCGTAACTAAAAACCAAGCAGCAGCAGTGCTTGTCAGTAAATGCTGTCAAGGCCTGCGATCTGAGACCAGTGCTAACCGCCAATGCTGGGAAGATGCTACCCAAATTCACCACTCAGGCTGGCCCCAAATCTCCCAAATAGGCAGCACTCTTCTTAGTTTGCTCTCACTACTTCAGGTGGGACGAGGCAGGGCAAAGGGGAACAGGGCTTTTCCTGGGCTAGAATTTCATAATCAAATGTCAGGTTTGAGAGCACTGGTAGGCAACTGCCCAGCTTTTCACAGCACACTAGAAGTTCTGTGGTCACTGAGGGCATGTCTATCCAGCGTCACATCTGGTTCTGGTTGTACTTAGCCACAGAAGCACAACCCAGGGGGCCTGATGGACAGCTCTCCGCTGGGATGCTGCTTGGCTGACTAGGGAGGCCACACTCTGTCCGATCTGCTGAGTGAAGAGACTTTTTCTTCAGCTGACGTTTTCCATGGCAGAAGGAGTAAACAACCCTCTCCCAGCCACTTTGAACTCACAGCTGAGAGTGTAGGATGTTTACACATACTACAACATGGTTACGGCCCAGGGAGTCCGGGGGGTTGGTTGGCCCCTGACCACTGACAGAGATCGGCTTCTGATCCAGAGTGACCTGTGACACACGGTGCCCCTGCCTAAACAACAAAAATACAACCATGTAGGCTGGCTGAGTGAAAATATTAGCTAAATTTACTCACTTCCTTGTTCTGAATTAAGTTTGCCAGATTTCAGAAAAGGAAAATAAAAAGTACCTCCCTCAAGGTACAGAGACCCTGTGGACTGCCTCAATGTTTCCCTAAGTGACATTTACAAGGTCAGTACTGACCCCTCCCCTCAATGAGTTAGGTACCCCCCACAAACTGTGCTCATTACTGTCCTCATTATCTTTTATTTTTTAACCTGAATATCAAGTTAATTGCTGGTTCTGCTCAAAAGTAAATAAAACATTACCTTTCTTTAGCTCCTCACTGCCCCTACTATCCCCACTGAGGCTCTCAATAAGTGCTGGGTGAGTGATGAGTGGATTTACATAGCTAAGCAGAAAGCTGGAGACAGGAAAGTACTTTCTTTTGCTACCTTTAGGATTCTGTGGCCAGTGTGTGAAGAAAGCTGGTGTTCCCTATAGTATGGGACCGGGTATTCTTTTGCTTGCCTAGTGACTGGTGGCCCAGGATATTAGAACTAAGACTGCTAAAAACTAGCCTGCATAACAAGGTTTTCTGATGGTCATCCACTCAGAGTAAAGATACAAAGTATCATTCTGGGTATCTAAGCAAGTCTTTAAACATAAAGTGAGGGCTGGGATGTAGCTAGGTGGTACAGCGCTTACCTAGCATACATGAGGCCCTGGGTTCAATCCCAGCACCAAAAAAGAAAAGACAACAACAACAACACAAAAAAAAAACATAAAGTGACCTTGTATTCTATGTTTTCGACCCATACAGTTTAAATCCTCAAAATGATCATGCTGAGGCAGGACAAAAAGGAGATCCCTTTTATTTCATCTAGGTCGCAGTTTCCAGAACTTAACGTTGACAAAGCCAAATCCATTTCAATTCTCACTTCTTACCATTATAAGCAAATGCCAGCCTAACTAGGTCTCAGCTGAGGCAGGGAGAAAATACTGAAACTCTTTAATACCATGAAACAAAGGCTAACTGCTCTTTTTAAAACTGCTGAGATAGGTTCAATGTATTATTTTCCACTGAGGTCTTCCTTCCTATTTTATAAAAAACACAAATCACTAAAGTCCAGACCCAGCTTAAAAAGGCTCTTGGGTGAGGAGAGGGTAGAAGGTATAGAAGATTGAGACCCAGAACCAGCTCATAGGAGCCTAGGGAACAGGGAGGCCCTGGTACTTCCTATCTTTGACCTTTGGTTATTTGTCTCCAGGTGTCCATGACTACAGCTGATCTAGCACTGAATATGGTCTTTTTACCAAACAAAAAGCAAACCCTTTACATACTCCTTCCAAAAGCCAAAATACCCTTTTGTTAAAAGCTATGCAAGCAGGTAGCTTCTCTATGCTTCCTACTGCATCCTCTTAGGTAGTTAACAGTGTGTAGGGCACTGAGTATCAACTATTAGCACTTAGGTCTGTGTTGTCATGACAAGGCATAGCTGTTTTCACATCACTGGGATGGATCTTCTGCATTATGAAGACTCATTATTCTGCCAATGGAGGTCAAGCTAGCAAGGGAATGATTATGCTTGATTTAAAGAAATGAGTGAAAAGGTAATGACATTTCAATGGGAAGGAACTTTCAACTCATAGCTTAGTGGGACAGAAGTCAGACCTCAGTTACTACCTTCTATTTTCAGTCTTTATTTGCTTCCCTGAAGAAAAGTGAGATTCCCAAGCATCTCTGAGAAGTCAGGGGTCCTAGACCCACAACTCAATATTCTGGTTCGTTCCTTCTCCCAAGAGTGGGACATTACCCTAAACACTAGAATAATCCCTCGATGCCTGGTTCAATCTAGAATGTGGCACTTGTTCAACTTTAGCAGTGGCCTCTCCAACGAGAGGGCTTGTCCTTGGAATGTTTTCAGAGGCTGACACTGACAGACAATGCCAGAAAGTGAGCAGCATCACATCTTAGAGCCAATACTACAGTGCTATGTAGTCAACCTCAGACTGGAAAAAAACTACACATGCTTTAGTAGCAAGAGTGCACTGCTGCCTCCTTCAGAGGGTGAATTTTGGAGAGTAGGTGCTTTTAAAGGACTCTAGGAGGTGTCAGCCAATTTGGAGTTTGGAAAAGCGTCATGTCTACAGAGGATTAAAAATGCTATCTTAGAATTTCAGGCCAGCTTTCAGAAATCTCAACCTTTCAAAGGCCAGGCAGCATCTGTCCCAAATAGGATGCCAATCAATAACTTGAACACCTACAAAGAACTAAATCCAGGCAGCAAGGAGCTGTTTCAGCTAGACACTCTTTAAAAGGAGATGGATCAGAGCATTTCAAGTCTGACACTCTGAACCAGAAGAACTGAGAACTTTGGAGAAAGGTTAGGAAAGGCCCTTCTCTCCAGTCAGTCTATTCAGTAGGCAGTCCACAAAGAACAAGAAGTTAGCAAAATGAGAGTAAACAAGGCCTGATTTCATCATAGCATTCATCACCTTCTTTTTAGGGGGTGCGCTGCCAAGTGCCAGTAGCTCACACCTAGAATCCTAGCTACTTAGAAGGCTGGGATCAGAAGGATCAAGGTTCAAGGCCAGCCTGGACAAACTGTTAGAAGAGACCCCATCCCCAAAAATAACCAGAGCAAAATGGACTGGAGTTATGGCTCAAGTACCTGCTTTGCAAGCACAAAGCCCTGAGTTCAAACAGTCCCACAAAAAAAAAAAAAAAAAAAAAAAAAAGTACAGGGGGCTTCTGATGGAGGAAGAAAAAAATCCCAACAAGGAAAACAGAAGTGGTATTTTTTGCTCTGAAGGAAAGGAAGTGGTCTGAATTCTTGTGACTTCTCAAGAGAGGAGGAAGCACCCCAAGAAGAGGAATTGAGCCCACGGGCACAAACCTGCAATATCTCAAAGCCGATGCGCAGCTGGGGATGACTGTGGCAGCCTGCCGCTGTAAACATCCGACTGAAAGCTCCTCTGAACACCTTACAGCTTCCAGTCAAGGATGTTTACAGTAGCAAAGACTGCCCAGAAAAATGGAGCTGTAGTGAGGCACAATCTGCTCCAGTAGGGCTTGCTAATCCATAGGTCCCCATGCAGGGTCACTGCTAATGTCAATTAGGATGCCCACCTGTCCTACACTATCTCTGACTGGTTATTAATATGGGCCAGCATAAGGAGAATGGGCACGAAATGACTGTGGTTCTAAGGATAATATACTATGAAAAAATTTATTAAAAACACTTAAAATCTACTAACAAAATAAACCAAGCAGAACAAGGTATAGGTTTGCTCCTATGAGACGCTGCCACTATTTCCCAAGTGTTTCTATTACACCTAGTGAGTCATGCAAACCATGTGCCTAAAACAATGAACTACACAGGATGGGGGTCTATTATAATTGCAATTAAGAGTTAGCTATATGCTCCCAAGTACTGAAAAAACAATTGGTGTGACCTCTGGCAAGGAGCAGGCAGAAGAGAGGGGCAGGAAGACACATTGTTTCTTGTGATTGCCAAGGAAACACTTTAAGTGGTAGTTCTCAAATTTGGTTGCACACTTTTAGTGTGTACTTAGGAACTTTAAACAGCACTGATGCCTGGGCCCCAGCATCACAGATTCTGATTGGACTGACAGGGAAGATAGAGCCTAGGCACTGGTCTTTCTTAAACCCCAGAGTTCTAATGTGCAGCCAGGGGACAAGAGAAAGCCACATACAGAGTAAGAGAAAACAAAGTCCACTCACTCCAAATGCTATTTTGTACACAAAGAAGCTGTTTTTTAAAATCTGGTATCTACAACTCACTGAGAATGTTCTCCCATACCAGGTTAAGAACTCTTGATAAGACTTCCTTAAGATACTAGAATCTTTAATTTTCATTTTGTCTCTTTTCACTGAAATAACACCTCAGAGGCACTGAGTTAAAAGTATCCATAAATGAAAAAGAGAAGGAGATGTTAAGATGGAACAGTAAATGCCTTGTGCAGAGAGTGAGGAGTGTATCTGACAGCATTGTGCCAAGGCTCTGCAGTCAGCAGCACAGCCATGTCTTCCCCAGCTCACCTGGCGCTTTGGAGGTTTCAATTCGTCTCTTGGCACAATATCGATAAGAAAGTCAAACTGATCAAATTTTGTAATTGCCATGGCGATATCATTCCTCTGTAACAAAGAAAAGAAGAATGAAAAACTGACCTGGGGAGAAATTAGTTCACCTGGCTTTATACTCTCCAAGTAAGAAAAGAAGATGACTTTAAGCTAAACTAAATACCCCTGGCCAGACTTGCTGGGCACAAATTAACAAAAAGAAAGATACATGTAGCTCTAAACAGGACATTTAAGCCTTCACTCACTACTATTCCTGCTACATCTGGTCCCAAGGTTCTCTGTGTGATTATAAAAGTATCACCCTCCAGCTAAATTAGGACAAAGCCAGCAACTTCAACTGGCAGATTTCTAGTCATTCTGTGGTTAGCAAGGCCAGCCTATCATTCAACCTTATAAGCTATTTTAGGCCCTAGTAAGTATTTTGTCTTTGCATCACAAGTAGGTATATTCTAGTCACTTGATCTATATATGTTAGTTCCCACAAGGCTATGACGTTTATTTTGTAACTCAAAATTGCAGTGGTAAAATCCATGGTTTAAATCTGGTCTAATGTGGCATGAATGCTGAAGTTTGAAGTTACTAGAGGCAGGTAGAGAGCACAGGAAATCAGCTCAGAATTAAACCATGGTTTGTTCAGATGGGATTTTTCTCTCCAAGTGTGATACTTCCTTCAAGTAATAAAATGTTAAAGTTTTGGGTTTTTTAATTAAAAATCCAACACATTGTGTATACTTAAGATTTGTGTATTTTGATTGCTTATTTATTTATTTACTTATTATTTTTGTAGTCCTGGGGACCAAACCGTGGGGCTCACACATGCTAGGCAAGTGCTCTTCTACTGAGCTACATCCCCAACCCTGAAAATTAAAAAAAAAAAAAACACACACACACACAAAAAAACCAGAATTCTAGTGAATGATATGCGTACTTGAGTATTTAAGAGAAAGTAAACTTTAAAATTCACTTAAAAATAGATGAGTTGATAGATGGATGAAATGATAGATAAGAAGATAAAATTAGTAAAATGTCAGTGTTGGAATTTGGGTAGAAAATACACAGATGCTGAGTGTAAACTTTGCTTATGTTTGAAATTTTTCCATAATAAAATACTGAAGGAAAAGTCAACACACTATCAGAGACACTTAGCAACCTTTATATACCACACCTTAAGTGAAGGTGACCCATTAGACAAAGTAGGAGGGGACGGAAATTTTCTGTTTTTTCCTTCCCTGGTATCTGTGATGGCCTCAAGCCACTGAAATGCAAAACTCCAGTCCACCCTTCTTGCCAACCACCAGCTTGATACTGAAGCAGGGCACATCTTAAAGACTGCCAGATGAACACAATAGAGTGTCACATTCTTGATGATGTCACCTACTCAAGGTATCTAAATGGCTCATCTATGGACAGAATAAAGGGAGAGGGATGAGACAAAACAATAACTTCCAAACATACACCAAAATGTTCTCGAGTATTCTGGAAATACATATGCACTTAAATTGATCTAAAATTTTTACTTTGTCTTTTTATTTGGGGAGGGGGGAGGTAGTACTGGGGTTTGAACTCAGGGCCTCATGTTTACTAGGCAAGCACTCTAAAACTTGAGCCATGCCCCCAGCCCTTCCTTGTCTTTATTTTAGCCATTCCAGTGAGCAGAAAACAGCATTATATTGTAGTTTTAATTTGTACTTACTAGATGACTAACCTCTTCATAATCTTATCAGTCATTTGGATACCTTCTTTTTGGAGGGCTGTTCAAGTGTTTTGCCCATTTTATTTTTTAATCTGAATTGATCTTGATGGTAGCTTTTACAGGGTCTCCCTAGATCCACAGACTTATTTCAAGGCAGCATACATTAAGTTTTGCAATTTGCACATGCTTATCATTCACTAATGTTCAGTATTTTTTTTCTTTTTTGCTTTAAAAGTAAAGTACACAAATCTTCACTTTATGTTGCAGTGTCTAGCTGCACAAGAATGCAGGCTCCATGAGGGTGAAGATTTTTGTCTGTTTTATGTATTGTTAATCCCCAGAGCCTAGAAAAGTACCTGACACATTGTGTTTAGTGAACATTTTATAGAACAAATAAATAAACGCATGTATTTTCAATTTTGTAGTTAAAGGGAAATGAGGATAAAACAGAATTTATTTTCTTGCCTTCATTATTAAAATACTGTCACTGTTTTGTATCTGGGAAACCTGTCCTCCAAGAAGAGGACCTGACTGATGACAGGATGGGGGGATGGGAGGGATTCTAGAGGGTTCCACATACAATGTGAAGATTGGCTTTCCTAGATTTAAAAAGAAGAGAAGAGAAGAAAAGAAAAGGATTGCCAAGAAGGCTGACAAGGAACAAAAAAGCTAATGAAATGAAGACTATGGAGTCTTTCTGGATTATTGGGTCCTAGAGTTTTCCAAGGCTCCCAACCAGAAGCTGTCACATCTGGAAACATAAATATTCTGTCACTTGAGCCTTTGCTTATATGAGGGCTCACCAAGTGAAGCATTCCATCATTGAGCTGTGAAAACCACGTGAGAACTGAAAAATTACGACTCTTGGTAAGGAAACGCTATTGCCACTGCTACAAGGTATGTCTGTATCCCAAAGAAAAAGGAAGATGACATTAAATGCAGCCTGACAAAGGGCAAAGGAAGAAGCCTATGTGGTCCAAAACCATGTAAGAGAAGCAGGCAAAGGCAGCTCTTTTTCCTTGTATTCAAGATATGAGTCTGCAATATTACCTGAAGAGTACGACGCTTGTTATCCTCTGTGTGGATCCAGGCTCGAAGAGTCAGCTCTGTGATAAAAATCTGGGCTGCCTTGGCAAAGAGCACAGGGGCTTCTGCACTGATCATCTGCAACAGATGTAGGCCCTCTCTGTCAATCACCAGTAAATTATTCAAACTAGTCAGTCTCTTGCCTCACAGCCTGCTATGGGGTGACAACTGAAAAAATAAGAAGGTATCAGAGAGCAAGGAAGGAGGAGAAGGAATGCTTCACTTACCATGTGCCAGACCCTATACAAGGTGTTTTCTTTTTCTTTTTTTTTGGTGGTACTGGGGCTTGAACTGAAGACCTCATGTTTGCTAGGCAGATTCTCTACCACTTGAACCACTCCAGCAAGGTGCTTTCTTATCCTCTTAACAGCCTTTCAAGAAAACTAGAGCTTAGGAGAGGCGAAGTGACTTGACCATAGCCATAGAGCCAGTAAATGACAGAGTTTGTTTTAATCTAAGGAAAGACAATGGTTTGAGCACCAATGATTTATGTAAAAAATCTCGGACCTTGTTTTCCTCACAATGAAAAAGAGGACAACCTTCCAGTGTTATTGTAGGACTCAAATGAGATAACCTCTGAACCCAGTACAGGGCCTGGCATGTAATAAGTGCTTAAGCAATGTAAGCTGCCTCCATGTGTCTGACTTCCAAGGTCAAGCTCTCAATCAAAAAAAAAAAGCTCTACACTGTTGGTGAAGTGTATGCAGGAAAGAGCCACACGAAGAGCTCTGGGTTAAGGAAAGAGATGAGAATCAGAATCTTGGTTCTACTAATATGTTTAGTGTAAGTCACTTCACCTCTTTGTGTCTACTTCCATATCTGTAAAGTGGAACCAAGAATTCTTATCCTATGTGAGGGAGCTAATAAAGGGGGAAACTGCTATCGACTGTTAGCTTTCTGTACAAATACAAGAGAACTATTAATTTTGAGAGGTAAAGAGACAGCTGTTCTTCCCCTCGGTGTTGTAATTGAAAGTAAACTCCTAAGAATACAGAAATGGCCAGTGCCAAGGAAACCTTCACAAGTATAATTCACTCATGTAAAATAAACTAATAAGTCAAAGATCAGAACAGGTGCAATATCATCATCGGAAATTTCTTACATCACAGATTAACAAAATAGGAGACGGCAGTAAGATGCTAAGATGATGGCACTGTCCTGCTGATAAGATGATACAAGCTCTTTATATTACATAGTGAAAAGAATTAGGGATACCACATGATTTTAAAAGCAAATACTCAGCATCTTCTCAGTATCTGGAAAAAAACAGGGTATCTCTAATTTTTCAGAGAAATACAGTAATTAAAACTGTTCAATTTCACCTTATTTATGAGATAACCTGTTATTTTGTTTCAGACAAAAACCAAAAGACAACAGATAATAACAATGCTTTCATTTTTGTTTAAACTCACCCTAGAGAAATGAGCAATATCCTACCCATCATTTTGGCTTCAAGATGAATAATAAAATAAATGTGAATTCACCTTCACATCTTCATCCAGTTTCATAATCTTCTTAATACGAGCCAGTGGGAGTTCCTGTACACGGAAATCTTTCTGAAATGAGCAAAAAGAGTGGTGGGGATGAGCAATAGGTGGCAGAGCACCACAGACAGTTAGCAAACACTGACTGGTTTAGACCCTCCTTTTAGGAAAAAGGCATGAGAGAAGGGATAGATATAATGAAGAAAATACAAGCTCCAGAGAAAAATTCTTCTTTACTTAACCCATGCAGAATCCCAAGAAATTACGGGGTTTTAAAAGAAAACTTACAATGGCCTTTAACAGTACTCTCATGAAGGGCAGCCCAACCAGTACCAGATTCTTTGCCTCAGCTCAATAAAGAGGTACGTTACAAGCGCCATCTTTTTCATATGTGCATACAATGTTTGGGTCCATTAAAATAAACAAAACAAAACAAAAAAAACAACCAAGTGCCATCTTTTTCTTCTTCTTCTTTTGCAAGTAAGTTTACCAGACTACAATATGCAGACTAAGGTGAAATCTTTGCCTCAGGAACATTCCTCTAAATCGTCAGTTCTGTGTTCTATTCAGGGACTACAAGGGCAAGAACCAGCAGCACCTGACTGCAGTGACTTATGGTTCTTTTCTTAGCTAGTTAGATACTGGCCCTTTCTGACCTTTGCAGCAATCTCACAACAGAAATTGGCAAAAGACTCCTTTCATATCACAGCACAAAGGCCTTGTCTCCAAAATTTATTTCAGAATGTGGGAAGAAGGGTGTAATAAAAGGGTGAGGGTGAATTTACCAGCTGCTACTTTTTCCTTAACAAATAGGACTGGGATGGGAAAAACATGCAACTTCACTGGATGGGATTTAGGAAAGGGCTTTTGACTGGCACTACTCAACTACGTGCAATTTAAGTCCTTTTTTTTGTTGTTTTATTTTGAAGCTGCTGGTATTTAAACACATGTCCAATGATAGATGCAATTCTAGAAATAAAAGTCAATTTTGAGTTTCAGAGCTGCAATAAAGAGAAAGGTACAAAGGCAAGACACTAAATTCAGAAAAATCTCTGCTGGGACTGGGTGTCAAATGATTGATTCTGTAAGTGCTCTGAAATGTGACTCATTAAACCCAGTATCATTACCTGGAAATCTGCATCATCAGATTATAGGTGGAGGGGCTATTATTTGAAGTTTTATGAAAAACAAGCACAAGTGAACGTTCTTCTGCAAGACCAACAGAAAATGTCAAATATATGTCAAAGGCAACATTCTGGAAAAATATTCCAGAATCTATTTTATGATTACAAAAGGAAGAGCATCTATTAGGATAAATGTACACCAAGATATCTAATTTCTCTATGCAAACCAACAAGCTGTTTGGTTATCATTAGGTTATGAATTTTAAATATCAATTTTTTCATATTATCCTTTTCCTTTTCCAAATTAGGTAACATTTTCCATGAAGGCGCTATTAAAATTAACCCCAGAGTGGCAGAGGTTTAGAAGTTCAATTTACTAAAATTTCACCAAATGGAGACAGCAGAGCATATTCTCTCTATTCTTATTTTTCTCCTCCTCTTTCATTTTCTTATCCATGCAAGCCAACCAATTGTGAATGTATGAAAGATGCAAACCTACTCCTACCTTTGAGGAGCTTAAACATTATAATCTCCATCTTACACTAGAGGGGAGGAAGGGTATAAAATCCCACAGGGACACAAAGAAGGGAATAACCAGGTGGAAATGTAAGGCTGGAGGGAAAGGAGTTGGGAATGTGTCACAAGGGGGATGGCATCAAGACTCTGATGCTGAGAATGAAGAGAAACAATGAACACAGAAACAAAGAGACACAAAAACATGGCCTCCTGAAGTTTTAAATATATGACCTGAGTATGAAAGGGATCAGGAAGAAAGAGGAAGCTACACTGGGGTCAGACTCTGAAAGGATTTTTAAAAATGTTTAATCACAGAAATCAATCCTTTGTCTTCTTTCTTGTGTGGCACATCACACAAGATGCTACCCTGAAATACCAGAGAAGACAAGGGATGGCAATTTCTTTGGAAAGCCTTTCGAGATAATACATACAGATCAAGATTATGACCACAAGAGTTCATTCTCTTGCAAGTGCACTGTCATTTTGAATCCATTGTTTAACATAATTTACACAAGATTGGTCCATGATTACTTAACCAAAGCCCAAAGCTGATTAGATGTAAAACAGGGAGAAATTTATAAAACGGTCTCCTCCCAAACTCTTTCTTTTGAGAGAAACTTTTTTTACGATCCCCAAACGTTGAGATTTCAAGGGGAAGTATGTGAAAAGTGGATCTTGAAATCACAGCTTTTTCTTTCATGTATTTGCCTATCTACCTATCAGCAGTACTGATGTTTGAACTTGAGGTCTTGTGCTTGCTAGGCAGGCACGCTTACAGAGCCATGTCTCCAGTGAAAAGCGGCTCCTGAGATGTGTGCGTGGGGGTTCGTTATTGCTATCGATATCCTGGTTTTGTATAATCCTATCATGGCTTTTCAGTCACATGTAAGGGTTCATTGTAAGCTTTTGAGGAGGGAAGCCACTCCACTACCAGTAAGCCGAGGCTCACCACATTGGTTTTCAATTCAGTGACATGTTGCCCACGTCAAGAAGTTAGGGGAGGATTAGATTTTTCTTTTCAAGATTCAGTATCATCACCCCCCACCGCAAAAAAAGACTGTTAACTTTCTCTTCCCCACTCCCAAAGAAGGCCAGAGGGGTAAAACTTAATGTCAAGAAGTCTGCTATTGGTGCCAGGCATGCTGGTACATGCCTGTAATCCCAGCACTTGGGAGGCAGAGGCTGGAAGATCAAGAGTTCCTTGCTACATAGTGAGTTCAAGGCCAGTCAGATACATAGCGTAAGGCGCTAAGTTTGATCTCCAGCACTACAAATAAATAAATAAAATCCATTACTTCTTGTTCCTAGAGCTTTGCTAAACAGGGACATAAAGTATTTTATTTAATCACTGTGGTACAGTCACTTTGGTATGCTTTTTACTCAACTTGGATCCCAGTTCATACCTGGATTTATGACAATTAGAGATTTTAAGAACAACAGAACACGGTGGTTATGCTGAAATAAGAGATAAACTGCTTTCATGGGACTCAGACCAAAACAACTGGGGGCCAGGGTGTCCAACACAAAATATATCAGGTGGCAAACTTAAATTACTCGCTTTTGAAACAATCTCTGTGTCCCCAGTCTTAGAAGAGACTTGGAGTATTCTTGTGAGTTTAAGCATAATGGATTGTTAAAAATCTGTTAAACATTTGAATGTTGACCTAAAGTGTTCTGACATATCTGAAGAAGTCTGATTTTAAGAACGTCTGAGTTCTGGAAAGGTACAGACTATTAAGATGTGTGGCCATGTTGCACAGGCAAAGGTACAATCAGAGAGGCTGACACCTTCATGTACTGTAGTCAGAGTCCTGAGCACAAAGAAAAATAAGAATCTTATAAAAGAGAAAAAAAAAATCAACTCAAACTTTATAAGAGCTTGAACTCAGAGCCTCTCATTTGCTAGGCAGGCGCTCTACCATTTGAATCACTCTGCCAGCCCTGTTTTGTGTTGGATATTTCTGAGACAGAGTCTCATGAACTACTTGCCAGGGCTGGCTTCAAACCATGATCCTCCTGATCTCTGCCTCCTGAGTATCCAGAATTATAGGTGTGAGCCATCAGCACCCAGCAAATCACTCCAACCTTACTGGATCACATTCTTACTGAAACTTGGAAGTGGTGTTGCTTTGGACTAAGTCTGAAGTGGAGGAGTTTGATTCATTCAAACTTCTATTGTGCAGCTGCTGCATGCCAGCCATTCTTCCAAGCAGAAAATGCCATAGCATGAGCAGTCTAGGAATCTTTTAAGAGGATACAGAGGAAGATTTTAATTAAGTCACCAACAGAAGAATGATTAAAAACAACTGCCTTCTTAGCTTCTTTCTCTTCACCCACGAAACCAGAACCAAAACAGAATCTTTGAAGTAATCGACTCTTTAAATCTCTGACAGACTAGATGTCTAAATACTAACATTTGGTCAACACCACAATCTGCTTTGTCTGCAATCCAACTTAAAAGGAAAACCAAATAGGTTAAAACTCAAAGCCCAGGGTCTCAAAGAAATATATGAATATCCATGTACATTCTTAATAGGCAGTAGGTGGAAGCAACCAATTGTCCATTGACAGATGACTAGATAAAGAAAATGTGGTGTAGACACATAAAGGGGATATTACTCAGCCTTAAAAAGTAAGGAAATACTGTTACATCTACAACATAGATGAATTCTGAAGACATTATGCTAAGGGAAATAAGCCAGTCACAAAAAGACAAATACTGTATGATTCCACTTACATGAGGTAGCTGAAGTTGTCAAATTCACAGAAAGAGAAAGCAAGATGGCGACTACCAAGGGCTGAGGAAAGGGGAGCTGTTTAATGAGTATAGTTTCAGTTCTGTAAAATGAAAAGGTTCTGAAGATGTGTTTCACAACAATGTGAATATACTTAACACTACTGAACTAAACATTTAAAAATGGTTACAGTAGTAACTTCCATAATTTTTTTTAAACCATTAAAAAAAAAAAAAAAGAGTCCAACAAAACACAGAAACAGTTAAGTGTTGTGCTTAACCTCCAGAGTTCTCTGGCCACCTACCCGATTCTGGACTTAGTTTCTGCTCTGAAGCTAAAGGACAGATTTGCTGCACTGACCTAATCCTACTACATCCCAGAAGGGTGCTAGTTTTATGCCAGGTTGAATCCAGCACATAAACCCAGTAAACTAAGCCATTAGATTATCTTCCCACAATGTGAGCAAAACACCCACTTTAACTATAATCTCACTGTTCCCTCCCTTCTCTCTTCTAGCTGAGTTAGTACAGATAACTACCATTTTGAGACTGCTGAAGAGAAACAAGAACTTTTCACAAAGGTCACTCTGGAAAGACCAAGTTCATCTGCTGAAAACTTCATATAAAAAATACCACCCAGGGGTACATGTAAAATATGAATTACCACTAAAGTCAATGGGCATTCATCACAGTGAAAAGTTAGTTTCATTTATTACTTATTTACAGTCTATCTCATGAAAATACATGTTCCACAAGTACAATGATCTAGTCTGGTCTACAAAATCCAGCACAGTCAAAGTAGGTGAAAAATAAGCATGTGTTGACTGAACAAATAAATTGATTTTGTTTTATCAGAGGAAGAAGGCCACTAAACTTGAGAATTGCAGTATTAGCTCTACATTAGGAAGAAATCCAGTGTCTGCCCTGCCAGTATGCTAATAGCGCTAAGGCAGGAATGTCACAAGTATTTGTTAAGATGACACCAAATGGAACACACTTCACTGAGGACACTACACTGTATTCTGAAAATACTTTGGTTCTAAACTGCCTCACCTTATGCTACATTCTCATGCCACATATTGTACTCCTAATCCCAACCTCTACCACTCTGAACTTGTGCTGTTTCTCTAAATACAAGGCTTGGAGGCCTGCAAACCTTTGCACATACTTTTCTTGCTGCCCAGGATATACTCTCCCATCCTATCCATCTGGTGAATGCTCACTCACGTTTCAAGACCCAACAAACATGATGCCTTTACTTAAAGCCTTCCCTAACTCAACCAGAGAGAAACAAGCACTATGACTTCTGTGCTCCTACAGCACTTTGACTTTTACTGCTTTGGAACTCATCACTATGCCCAGGGTCAGTAAGTACTTAGTAAATATTTAATGACTAAACGACTCTGGTTATAATTACTAAATTGTAAGCTAGACAGTGAATAGAGGCCAGGGATGCTGCTAAACATCCAACAATACACAGGACAAACCCCTCACAACAAAGAACTATCTGGTCAAAAACATAAATAAGGCTGCTATTAGAAACTCTAATCCAAGTATGTCTCTGTCTCTTTGTGTGTGAGTGTTGTTTTGTTTTTTTTTGAGACAGGGATTTGCTATGCAGCTCTGGTTGGCCTTAGACTTCTGATCTACCTGCCTTAGCTTCCCAAATATTGGGATTACAAGTGTGTGCTACCACATCAGGCTAAGTGTGTGTTTTATTTTTGTTTGTTTGTTTTGGTGGGACTGGGGTTTGAACTCAGGGCTTCATACTTACAAACCAGGTGCTCTACCGCTTGAGCCACGCCTCCAATCCATTTTCCTCTGGTTATTTTGGAGATGGGGTAACACTAACTGTTGGCCTGGACTGGCCTCAAACCTTGATTCTCCCTGATCTCAGCCTCCCAAGTAGCTAGGATTACAGGCATGAGCCATGGCACCTGACTCTAAGTGTGTTTTTTAACACCTGGAAAGAGTGCCTGGCTCACAGTAGATTTGTTGGTGAAGAAATTGCTCAATAGTCCACCAAATTATAGAACTCTTGCAGGGCCATTAAATTAGGCCTAAGAAATGAGCTATTCCTACTACAAGAAAGTAATCTTTGCTATTCTCCATTCTCTAAAAGACATGCCTCACATGTCTTTTAGACTACCTCCAAGTTAAAGTATCTAATACATATCCACATGCCTACAGAAAGCCAACAAGCTATAAAGCATACCCTTATAGCTACCTCACTTTGGGTAAATTATATTTCCATTTGCACATACACAGAAATAAACTATGCCTTTATAATGTGTTTGAATTAAAAATGTTTTAGTCTTAAGTTTTTGTTAATCATCTTTAGAAGTTTCTCATTCTTCCTTACCACTGTTAAATTCCGGATTTCTTCCATGACACGAGGCCAGAAGGATTGGAGGCTTTGCTGGGCATCACTGCTGCTAGTACCACCAAACCCTCCTTCTGTGGACATTTCAACAACTGAAAACATAGAGAAATGAGACATGTTAGAAATAACAGTCAGACTTTATGTCCTCCTCGTTAGTCATTTAGCTTTCTTTGTGGATGTTTTCACTAATTTATTCAACTTTTCAGTCTTCCTGTGGGGGTGGAGAAAGCATTTTTTGCCCTAGTCTAGCTCGTAATTTTCAATGTCATTCCCTCCAAAGCTTTTAAGCTATCCATGGCTTCTCATACTCCATGGCATAACTTACAGCCAATACATTAAAAGGTCTCAAGTGATTAATATAAACCCGAAGTCTTTAAAAAAAACAAAAAAAGGAACTACGTTTCTTTTGTTTTAGACACTGACCCCACTTCTCTGGAGCTATTGATGGTGATTATTCCTTCTAATCTCAGGTAAATCTGTTTCAAATGACATAACAGCATTAACCAATAATTGTGTGAATAGTTTTAAGTCTCTAAACTGAAACAGCATACTTCCCAATTCTTTCCTAGGCTGAATCCTGCTTTGGCACAAAGCCAAACACAGCACACCAACAATTAGAAGCTTTACAGATATGGGGAGTTAAACTTAGGATACAGAGAAAAAGGTAAGAAGCTACATTTGGTCAACTTCTTCGTGACAAAGGAGGCAAGATGGAACAGATCCCCACACTGGCTGTCATCATAAATAGTATTGTACTATTATAAAAGATTTACAGAGGGAAAGTAAACAACAAACAAGCAACAACAAAAACTCTCCAGTTAGCTTAAATGCTTACCTGGCAAACAGTGAAATGCAAGAGACAGTTTAATTGAACACAAAGAGTTAGTGATCTAAGTCTTCTATCCCGGAGAATTATTTGAAAAGGTTAACATTCCGTAGACAAGAGCTATGTAAGTCATTTAGAACTAATTCTGAGGGGTGAAAGAAAGCACCAAAGCCAGGTGTCACATGAAGAAACATGTAACTTTCTAGGCTTCATGTAGATACATGTTGGGCAGATCTCTCTCCACCAGTAGAGAGGAATGAGAGCTGATAAGCCTAGGTTTGGACTTCAAGGATATTCCATTCACTCTTAAGTATTTGTCTGGGATTGTCTAAGTGGTCTCTAATTTTTTTTCCTTCTAAAGAAAATGAAGATCTATGGCCATACCACCCTGAATGCCCCCAATTTTGTCCAAAGAAAATGAAGAAAGAAATGGAAGAAAAACAGGCATGTAATCTTCAAAGCAGATTTCTCTCTGCTGTAATGACATTAGTGGGTGATGACGTAATGGGAAAAGATTTGGAGCCAATTTCTGGTGCTGGAGGCCTAGAAACAGTTCCACATCAACAGGAATGCTTTAAGTATCTGAGAAGCAGTATGATCGTGGAGTTTCTGGAGGGAGTTAAAGGGATGAGTTGAATCACAGCTGGAAATGACTAGGTAAAATCTTGAATCCTAAAAAACCCAGTGAGAGCCCCTCAATTCAGCTCCCATGACATTTTCACTTACCACCACATGTATATGGCCTATATAACTAGTTTAGATGCATTTAGAACATTAAAAAAAATGCAATCTAGAAAAATTTAACTTATTTTTATTGCTAGCTTCCTATAAGGTATATATGTGGTGAGAGTGAGAGAAAAAGAGTAAGACTCAATTTAACCTTTTTTTAAATGGACAAATTAAAAAAATCTTTCTAGAGGGGTTGGTGGAGTGGCTCAAGTGGAAGAATGTCTGCCTAGCAAGTGTAAGGCCCTGAGTTCAAACTCTAGTACCGCAAACAAAACAAAACAAAAAAAACTATAAATAACTATGAAAAAACTCTAGAATCCTCTTACCACTGATGTGATAAATCAAAAAAAAATTTAAAAAGCTCAAAAAAGAACCTAACGTTTCATTGCATGGATCTGTGGATAGGCGTTATCTTAACACAATCTGCCGTAAATACTGTCAAAGGAGGAAGATGCACTGTTTCAATGTGACATCTTTGGGACACTTACTAATGATGAGTAGGGTTAGCTGGAGTGCAAATGTCTATGAGATTTAGAAGTTTGGTAACAAGTTTTAGCTGTCCTCTTATCTCCCCTTAATACACAACAAAGGCACATAATTCAAGAAGCACTTTTAATAACTATCTGTGCAGTCTGCTTTCAAATTTCAAACTTCCCCAGCCATGGATGTGCTGGCATGAGCAATCACCAAACATCTGTAGTCAACAGATCATGAATGAATCTTTGGCTGGCTCAAAGCCAGGCACTGTTGTAGTGGGAGTTGTGAGCAAAACAAAAAATTATTAAATAGTTTTGGAACTGAAAATGTATCAAAGGTTAAGTTTTTAACTTTAGAAGACTATCTGCATTAGAAAATCACAGGTGAATAAAGACAAAAAATACAAGCTAATAACAATGTCCCTCATGTTTTAATGCATCAGAAGTTAGGGACCAAAAATAAGACCCAGGAGACATCCAAGCCAACCCCTCCATATGGGGCTCACAGCTTCTCTTTAACCTCTGCACCAAGCCCACAACTCTATTCTAAGTGAACATTCAACTTAAATTTGAGCGCCTGCCTTTCTAATACTGGGAAGCTGGCTTCTTGGTAAGGCATTCTTTTCCTTCTTTGGGCAGCTCTGGCTGATCTTCTTTAGATTAAGTTAAATTTACAAGCTCCATCTGAGCTTTGGATTTTGACACAGCCTTTATGATTTTTCCATTCAGCAACCTCTTTTTACAAATACCAACTTAAAAAGACAAAAGCACTCTTCCTATTCCTCTCACTAGGAAAAAGAGAAAAGATTTGTAGCATTCTTCTAGCATCTTTGCAGAAATGATTAGTAATATCTCTGTAAAGGACATAAGTTGTTACTGTAAATTCTTTGAAAAGACGAGTATTTTTATCCAAAATGCTTTCCCTAAGGCAGATCCATTCTTTGCATGGAGCTTTAAAAATCAGGCCAGGATGTGGTCTGATTGTGTGGGCTCAAGCAGTAGAGCACCTGTCTAAAAGTTGAAAGCCCTGAGTTCAAATTCCAGCACCACAAAAAAAAAAAAAGATCATATCTCAAGCAACATATTTTCTGAAAAACAAAACTAGTGTTTTCAATATTGCCTTACTGAGGCATGACTTAACATTAAAGTAATAAGGCCTAACTGTAAACACAAACTAATTTCGCTGGCCAACCCCTCCAAAATATTAAAAAATATGAAGCAAACTTAGTTAACCATCACCTCTTGTTTTAGTGATCAATACAAAAAAGGTGATTGAATTGATTTTGCTACAGAAGTACCTATTTATAGTATCTACAGCCCATGGAAAAATGTGCATGGTTCATCTGAGTAATGAGAAAAAGCATACTTAAAAGTTAGAAGTGAAATAAATGTTCCTAATCCCAGCACTTGAGAGGCTATAAGAAGATCTCGAGTTTGAGGCCAGCAAAGTCTACAGAGTAAAATACTATCTCAAAAAAAAGAATTAAGAGAATTATTATTCCAGGATTCTTTTCATTCCATGCTAAGTCACTGTCTTATCACTGGATAAAAGCTGACAAAGACAAAACTGTCTTGGCTACGTGAGGTGGCTCAGACCTATAATCTCAGTTATGTGGGAGGCCATAGATGGGAGAATCAGGTTCCCAGGCCCATCCTGGGCAAAAATGTAAGAACCTTCCTGAAAAATAACTAAAGCAAAAAAGGATTGGGGGCATGGCTCAAGTGGTAGCAAACACAAGGTCCTGAATTCACAAACCCCAGTACTGGGGGTAGGAAAAACAAACAAACCTGTCTTAAGACCCAGCACATTAACTTAAATCACTCTTATGAAATATGCAACATAGAATTTCCCAGATTTAATATATTATTAATATGTAATTTATCATCCATGTTCATTAATTACTTTATAAATACTTGCATAAGACTGCCTGAAGTATTCAACAGTGTTACTAGACATAATCTCAACTCTAGTAATAGATACTCCAGTATCTATTAATTTATCTGGTTTTAAATTATCTGTTTTTTAAAAGTTTACTTTCTAAAGCTAGAAAGGGAAGAATTAAAGTCCATCATAAAAAGGCTGTTTCTCCAATGCCTAACTTAATTAATATCTCTCTCTACAAAGTGTTCTCTAAATACCTTCATCTGGAAGTGTCTCCTCGTGAACCTTCAGAGACCTTGATCTGCAGCTTTCTGGCCTCACACATTACCTGGTATGATCATTGTTTATATAAGTATCATTTCCCCCTCCTGGTATACAAACTCCTTAATAGGGGAACCTGAGTATGATTCATCTCTGGATCCCTCATAGCCATCTAGCACATGTCTGATAACTACTCCTGAGTGAAGGGCAAGAAAGTCATTGGAGATGGTCTCTCTGAGAAAACCGGCAGCTTGGAAAGCTTGACCCTGAAAGAAACCTACTGGGATTGCCTGAACAACCAAAAGAAGTGGCTATACAAGCTATTCTAAGAATTTATTTTCCAAATAAAATGCTCTCTCCAATCCTTTAAGCAAGAAGGACTAAAATTAGAAATGCACCTAAAGTGGACTTAAATAAAAGGGATGACAGAAAGAACCACACACTCATCCAAAAAGGTCTTGGAAGTTGCAAGTCAGACTAAAAGGCTGGCAACATGGGGTGTGTGCCATTCCCAACCATAAATCTTTTGCAAGTCAGAGCCTCTTCAAAAAGCTAACCAAGATAGATGAGCAAAGTCTGAAAAATTAATTGCAATGGGTAACTAGAAGATAGAGGGCAAATACCTCTGTCTAGCTATACATCAGCAACAAGAAAATCTTGATGGTTCAATGAGACAACTTGAGAGTGGCCATTCTAGCTACAACTCTTAATATCACCCATGGCTCTTTATCTTTTTTTTTTTTTTATCTTCTACTTCCTTTTTGATGGTACTGGGGTTTAAACTCAGGGCCTAGTGTTTGCCTAGCAAACACTCCAGCCCTTTTTGTTTTTAGTTATTTTTTTAGATAGGGTCTCACTTTTGTTCAGGGTCAGTCTAGGACCACAATCCCTCTGCCTTCCAAGTAGCTGCGGTTACAG